AAGAATGAAAGCTATGAAGTAGGTAATCTTGTTTGGCTTTATAATCCACAACGTCGTCGTGGCTTGTCTCCTAAACTGCAAAGACAATGGGAGGGTCCGTATGAAATTAAAAAGAGAATAAATGAGGTAATATACCGAATTAAGAAGTTGCCGAAAGGTAAACCAAAAGTAGTTCACATAAATCGTCTTGCACCTTATGCTGGCTCAAATGAAACCGAGGAAGTCCGAACCCTTAAACATGAGATCAAAGATGATCGGCGACCAAGCTTTAATGAATTTATGTCAAATTACGCAGAGAGAAAGAGTGCTAGATTCGGCGTGACGACAGAAGTTCAGCAGGATCTTTTTAGTGTTCCGCATAACGTCTCTCTAGCCCACTGTGTTGCCCAAGATCTTGAGATGACTAAAGGAATCTCATCCGTATTTTATAAGAAATTTGGTCACTTGGACGAGTTAAAAAACCAGCAGCCTAAAGTTGGAAGAGTGCTGAGATTAGAAGATGGTTCTTGATCTTTGCTGTATATGGTGACCAGGAAGTCGTATACAGACAGGGCAACCTACGAGGATATATGGTGTGCTCTAACTAATTTAAAGAAAATCGTCTGCAATTACGACATTAAGAACTTGGCTTTACAAAAGATAGGCCATGCACTAGATAATCTGGATTGGAAGATTGTCAGAAGCATGCTTGAAGTGATCTTCCGAGAAACCGGTGTAAGAATTACTGTGTGTTGCATTAATCCGAAGAGATCGTGTCCTTCAAAGACAGTAGACTGTTATTTCTTTCTGAGGGGTTCATGCAGAGCTGGAGATTCCTGTAGATTCCGCCATCCTGGGCCTATAGATAGATTTCCTGATCAGGACGCTCAGATCTTAGAGCTTTGGTAGCTGAATCGGATAAGTGAATATCTGAGAAATTGCGAACAACAGTAGAGGGTTGTTGATTCAAAATAGGCTGTGGATTTTGCTGAGAGATAAGTTAGTCCAGTTTTCATTTCTGGATTTGAGTTTTGTTGTCAGAAATGTGTTAGGCTTTTTGGTAATAAAGACGATCGAAAGTGTCCCATAATAATGGATGGATATTGAAAGAGTGAATGTGATTGTAGGTTTTAAGAAGTTGGGAATTTGTTGAATCTAAGTTGTGTCATGTGAAATGAATTGAATTTCTAAGAAGCAAAAAAAAACAGTTGCGCTAAGAATTTTGGAAATTGATGAAGATTTAGTGTGATGTTTATTTTGAAACAAAGTAAAAGTTATTCAATTTACTGTGGAAATTGAAACGCGAATACCTTACGATTACTTTAACCCCTTTAATACCTTACGATTACTTTAACCTTTAATTGTGGCTTATTTTCCATTTAAATAGTAATTACTTTAAAATGTCACAAAAAAATAGCTTCTGAACAATATTAATTTGAAACGATTTCGGAATGACTTGATAGTCACCACATGCTTTAGGAAAAGCAAGATCACAGAGAAGACATTATTTGCGTGTTCGAAGATCAGAAAGAGATTTAATAAGAATAAAAAATTTCTCCCCATAGAGGCGAATAAAACGTTAGGAAAGATTTCCGCGGTCAATAAATAAAAATCACTAAGTTCTCGGGAGGAACCGTTTTGAAAATTTAATGCTCAATAAATACATATACTCGGTTCACAATTTGTTGATAGCTCACTACAAGTTTAATCCTAATTAGAGAACTGAAATACAGAGAGGATAGGTAATACGATATAATAGTAAAAACCAACCTGAAACTAACGATTTAAGATGTTTTCGACTAACCCACCTTGTATCTGCCGGAATACAATACAGCGGTCAAGCTTATAATCCGATTAGGAACGTATTTTGGCCGACCAGTGTCGTAGAGTATATGATTGAAACATTTATTTAAACTAAATATATTTTTTAAATTGTATTTTTGTTTTAATAAAACTTATAATAAAATAAAATATTTTATTCAAAAATAAAGTTTTTTCCCATTTGTAAAAGATACACTTATTTAATTAAGGGGAAGGCACCAAATGTGTTTTAAATGTATCCATTATTTTCGAATTCGGCGAAAACTAATAAATATTTTTGAAAAATTTAAAAGCAGAATGAAAGATTACATTTTTACTGAGGGTATTATATATGTGTATACTGATGTATATTACAGAAAGTCCCTGAAAACTTCTACAATGGTTATTTTATTATTTTATGCAACAGGGGTGAAAATAAAAGAGAGAATATAGTATAATTTTTAATTGAAAATATTGCATGCAAAAGAAACTTTTTATTTATTCTAATAAATATTTTATTCTGCCTTTAAATTTTTCCAAAAAGGCTTTTTAGTTTTCTCAGGATTTGAAAAAAAATCGATGCATTTAAAACACATTAAACATTTTGACAGGCGACGTTTTGCGCCTTTCCCCTTTAATACCTTACGATTACAACTACTATCACTTACCTTATATAACTACGATTAGAAAACTATTCAAATTCAAAATAAATAGGATCAACTTCGGAATCCGAGTCGTCTTGAGGGTTATTAATTAGCGGTTGTGTCTCTACGGTCGCATCAATTATGTTATCAAGATCCCACATTTTTTGTTCTTCTTCTATTACATGTCTTACTGCATCTTTCCAGTTTTGTTCTGTAATGTGTTGTAAAGACTCGTATAACAATTCACGTACAGCTTGTATTTTATATGACGTATTTTTTCTAGCCACATAACTTTTCATTTGTGCCCAAATGAGTTCAATTGGATTTATTTTGCAGTGGTAGGGTGGAAGTCTAAGGACTGTGATGTTTCTCCTTTCCGCCATTTTGTCAACTACGTATTTCTTGAACTTAGATTTGTGTTGCCGGGCAATTTTTAAAAGTTCTGCTTTTACCATTCCATCTTCGTTAGGCAGGTACTTATTCCGCAGCCAGTCAAGAATATCCTATTTTTTCCACGCAGTCGTTGGAAGTCTTTCTACTAGTCGTGAATGATAAGGTGCATTATCTAATACTATAATTGAAATTGGTGGTATGTGTTCAATCATCTGCACAAAATACTCTTCGAAAACATCAGGTGTCATCTCCTCGTGATAGTCTTTTGTAGTGAAATTCCAACAAACCATGCTTAACAAATCCTTTTTCACTGCCAATGTGAGAAATTATTAATCTACTGCCTTTACCAGAAGGTAGGGAGATACCAGTAGACCAACCTTCCATAAAGGCTTGCCTGGAGCTTAATATATTTTTATCTGACCAAACTTTTTTTAGAGTATGACCTGAGTTTACCCACGATTCATCCTGGTAGAAGATTGGCCTTCCTTCAGCCCGGAATTTTCGTATGGATCTTAGATAATTTCTTCTCCAACATATTATCTCCTTCCGGTCAATCAAAAGTGATTTTCGGTCTGACTTCTCCCACCGGAAATTTAATTCTTTTAAAACTTGCCACAATTTAGTTCGTCCGATATGAGGCAAATCCGGATCATCTCTAACTTCTTGTAAAATTTTATTTGGGTTTGGTATTTCTTTTTTGAAAAAAATCTATGAATTTTCCTTCGAATACCATTTTTGGCAAATTCATCAAGTTCAATAGGCTTTTTCCCTCTCTTTAAGTGTTCGTTTGTATTTGGGTTAGCTATACCGTGTTTTTTTCTTTCTGATAGGAACCTTTATATAGTTGACTCCCCTACGCCAGTCATGTTGGCACAACTTTCGACTATATTGCGAACAGTGTTTGTGAGATTCTGAGAAACCAGAGCATCGTGAACATTCAGGACAATAGTCTTCTCTCTTGGTGAATAGACAGACTTACTGACTGTACGCAACAATACCAGTGTAAAACTTGATGATGTTGATGATGAAACCATCACAAACAATCCAACAAAACGAGCACGAACGAAAGGTACGTATATGTTCGTAGGTATATGGAATAAAAAATCACTCACGCACTGCATATAATTCGCAAAAGAAATATTCAAGACGCTAATTACTGCCGTAGAAGCGGAAACACCGACGAGCCGTAAATAACATGCGATCAAAAACGTACTAAACAAACAAATTGTTTTCGTTCGTAATAACTTCACCCTTTTAAGTTAAGTTTCGAATATAAACTAAACAGACGAGGTACGTGGCCAAATCCGGCATCTATACCCATTATATTATTAAAAATCTGGGAAATTCCATGATAATTATCTTGCAACCGATAGTACCTTCGGATATAAATGCCAGGTTTTCTAGTAAAGTGATTAAACGCGAAGATTAGTATTGAAATATCCAAAGAGATAAGGTATTCTTATTTACAAAATTGTTAATGGTTAAATTATTATTTTTATTAATATAATATAATAACCAACATTAGCGGTGAAAGTTTTAATTGTTTTTTACTAAATATATCAGTATTAAAACATTATTAATATTAATAATAATTTTAATGAATAAATACCTCAGGAACGCCTATGATGATACAAATTTTATGACCGTTTGATGATTTTGAGGCATATTTCGTGCTATCAACAATTTGTGAACAGAGAATAGATTTCAACAAAGCAATTACCATCGCTCTTATCCAATTCTTTAAATCGAGAATTATACGTGAAGCCATCGAAATTGAAAAACGGCCCAATAGATTAAATACGCGCGATGACGCGCTAAACGACTTCCGGCAACATGGCGACCGCTACTTCAGCGACCCCCCACCCAAACCCACACCGCTCAGGCCACATCAGCTCAGATGAATGAAAGGCAGATATCGAGCACAGTTTTATTAATTAAATCTTGCCCAAGTACTTTCGCTTCCTAGAGTATGTTCAGAGGCATTTCGTCAATTGTGGTCTATCCAACAAGAATAAAATATTATAAACTTAAAATTGTACAATACACTACACTACATAAGGACAAACAGTTTAAACATTTTAAAATAGACAAAGCTACATTATGGTCAGCATCAGGAGAGAGAATGATGATGGGATCATGCAATAAAATTAATCTTAATTAATTAATTTATTAGAATTCACTTACTTTTGGACGTCCATCCATTCCTCAATAACATAGGCTGTGATTTTTAGCTTCTCTTCCCAATCATCAATAAGTTCCTCGAATGGTCCTTTAAATGGACTAAAGGATATTTGCTGAGTAAGGACAATTTGATCGTCTAGTAACTGCTGAATTTCATCGGAAACTTTCATTATAAAAGTTCCTATAAAAAGATTACTCTATGAGACACTTAAAAATTACAAAATTTTAAAATTACAAACCAAATAAATACAATATAAAAAACAATAGTAATGGGCGACTTCAATGTCAAAGTTGGCCAGGGAAGAGTAGATGGATATGTGGGGGAATATGGTCTAGGAAATAGAGATGATCGTGGTGACCATTTGACACAATTTTGCCAGACGGAAGAATTTATAATAGCTAATACACTTTTTAAACTACTAAAAAGAATATTGTATATGTGGAAATCTCCCGGTGATACAATAAACAGAATAATCCGAAATCAAATTGACTTTATCCACAAGGAAAAAAAATTCCTGTAGCTGGCTGTATACCACGTATCACAAAAAAGAGGTTAGTCTTTTATATTTATTTAAAAAACCCTTAAAAGGGCTACATCAATAAAACAAACGTTTTCGGACCACACAGTCCATCATCAGGTTTTAAAATCAAAAAATGTCTAAAAATAAGTATAAACCATTGAGTTAAAACAAACGTGATTATGAAATTTTGACTATGGTTGAAAAGCAAAAGATGGTTATACTTACTAGGTCACAATGCCTGAGCCACCAAAATACTAAGGTAAAAACCCTTTAAATTACATTTAGTTATAAAAGATTATACATTGTGTTGTAAAATAACTGTGATGTTCAGTATTAAATTAAATTTGGCTAGAGGTAACACATGGCTGAAGCGAGTTCCAGAGCCGGTGAGAGAGAACATCTACACGCGGAGAACAGCTGGGAACTGATTGACAAGATACTTATGATCGATGTCGAAAACAAAATGTCAATGTAACAAAAAGCTATATTAGCTGTACATAGTATTACTACAGCCAAAAGATTCAACAAGTTTTGATGATTTTAAAAAATAACAGCAATCCAGGTGTTGGGATTTAGAAAACTTTTTTATTTATTAACTTAGGGTATAAAAGATCTGAAATCAATGATGGTTTTATAGTCATGATTAATAGAATGACCTGTGTCTTAGGCAACTTATGTTGCTTTTTGTCATATGGAATGTGGTCGAGAAGTGTATTTTATGTTGGATTAGCTTATATATATATATATATATATATATATATATATATATATATATATATATATATATATATATATGAAAATTATCCTTTTATGTTTATCACATCTAGGACAAGGTAAAAATTAAATAACAAATATTTGAAGCTAACATCAGACCTCATATTAAAATGACTTTATTTAAGACTGCTCCTATGGTGAAAAAATTAATAAAATTAAGTTTAGTAAAATGGAAATTACAGGCTGAAGAAATTAAAGTAATAACCTATGTGATTAAATTTAAAATTGAAAAGGCTGGGTTCCTCAGAGACTTAATGAGAATGAAAGTAAAGGAAATGACTGAAGAAAAGGAGGGGGGCGGTTAAAGGAGAAAAGGAGTTAATCAACAATTAGAGATAATAGGGGTCCTTTATACTTAAAGTATCTAGCACCTTGAACAAAATCTATTTTGGTGGTATTAAATTCAGTTTATAGAAACCTGAAATTTGTTGTATAAGTGTGCTACTAAGTTGTTGACCGAGAGAAGGTGGACAATGGTAGATAAGGATTCTTTGTAATATGGTAGATTATGAATTTTGATAAATTGTTAGATAATGTTTGAATGATTACTAAGTTAAAACTTTTGGATACATGTTTGATATATGAATTGACCAAGAAATAATGAAAGAGAAAAGAATTGACAGGAATGTGATGTAGAAGTGAAGAGTGGATAAGATGGTGATATGTTAGTATGATAGATGTGGATGGTTCTGAAGTTAACATTAAAGTCGAAAATTTGTGAGAGGAAATTTACTACATGATCAGTGCCAAAAACTAGAAGAAATTGAGAAAAAATATGACTTTTTTAACATGCATAAAAGAAGTCGAGAATTAACAGGAATGAAAAAACACTTCAAACTAGGCAACTAAGAGATGAAAGGGTTGCAATTATAACAGATATAAACGAAAAAATGCAGAGATGGACACAATATATAGCACAACTTTTTGAAGACAAAGAGAGAACAGAAGCACCAAAAGAATTTAAGGATGATACTGGGCCTGACATTATACGAGAAGAATTTTAATATACAATGAAACAAGCTAAACGTGTTAAATTTCCCGGGCCTGATGAAGTTCCGATCGAATTACTCAAAATTGTGAATACTGAATCTATTGATCTTCTTTTGTACCGTCTCCTCGAATCATCGTAGGTGATTTTAACGGTCATAACCTTATTTGGGGCTCTAAGCGTACTGATCACAGAGGAAAACTTCTAGAAAAGGTAATGCAGGATCTTCAATTAAATTTACTAAATGATGGGTCACCTACAAGATTCAACATCTGCACTGGAGAATCCTCCATGATAGATTTGAGCTTCTGTGATCCAGCTCTTTCTCCGCGTCTCTCTTGGACTGTTCTCGAGTATACATATGGTAGCGACCATCACCCTATTACCATTGAGAATCTCTCAGATCAGCCTTGCCCAATATCCTTCTTGCCCAAATGGAATATAAATTCGGCTAAGTGAAGCGATTTTGAAAATCATATAGATAAGGCTTTGGAGGGTCTCATACTGAATGATAATCTAAACCATTCTTTAGGTATTTTTAATAGTGTCATCTTGCAGAGTGCGGAGCTCTTCATCGGCAAAACAAGGCCCATTAAAAATCATGTTCCTGTGCCTTGGTGGAATTCGGAATGTAACGACGCAGTACATGCCAGCAAAACAGCTTTTAATAGATTTAAGAAGCATAAAACACTGGAAAATAAAATTAACTATAAAAAAAAATGAAGGCTAGAGCTCAACGTTTAGTAAATCAAACCAAAAAATCCAGTTGGGCCCAATATGTCTCTAGCATTAACAGCTCCACTCCTGTAAGAGAAGTATGGAAGAAAATACGCAAAATTTCTGGCATAAAAGAGTCATCCCCAATATCTAGTCTCAAAATAGGTATTCAAATTGTCACCTCTCGTCTTGAATTTGTCAATATATTAGCTAAAAACTACAGAGAAATGTCTTTCAATGAAAATTTTGACCCTGTATTTCTGGAAAATAAACTAGAGGCCGAAAGGTCCAACCTCTGTTTAGAAAAATATATTCCATTAAACGCTACTCTCACGTTACAAGAACTAAACAACGCACTGAACGATCTAAAAGAAACAAGTACTGGGCCTGACGATATCCCAACTATTTTCTTAAAACATCTACCCACATCTGCTAAAAATTACATGCTTCAATTATTTAACTTCATCTGGCAGCGACACCAGTACCCATCTGTTTGGTCAAAATCTATCATTCTCCCACTTCTCAAAAGCCAAAAATCTCGTCTAGACCCCAATTCCTATAGACCGATAAGCCTAACGTGTGCAATGGGCAAGCTATTAGAAAAAATTATTAACTCAAGGCTGACTTGGCATCTAGAAAATTCAAACTTACTTATAAACGAACAAAATGGTTTTCGACAAAACCGATCGGGGATAGACAACATATTAGACCTGGAAAGTGATATTCATGAATCTCTGGCAACAAAACAGCATTGTATCGCAGTCTTTTTTGACTTAAGAAAAGCATTTAATACATGTTGGAGATTCAACATTTTAAAAAAGTTACATTCATGGAACATTCGTGGAAATTGCCTTCATTTTATTAAGAACTTTCTAGAAAACAGATCTTTTCGTGTAAGAGTTAACAACTACTATTCCGAAATGCAGGAGGAAGAAAACGGTATCCCTCAAGGCCTAATTATTAGTCCTTCACTTTGTTTAATTGCTATTAATGACATAATTAAAAACCTCCAAAAACCTTTAATAGCACGTTTAGATGCAGATGACTTGGTGGTTTATGTAAAAGGCAAAGATATTAATTTAACTTCAACAATTTTGCTAAATTTCTTAAAAAAAGTGTATCGAAAGTATCGAAGAGTATCGAAATACCGAAAGTGATATAAAAGCTTTTATAAAAAATCGAGTTTAGTGCAAGTGGAAAAACGAATGGCAATCTTCTCAAACATCACTGAAGCAAATTAAAAATGACGTTGCAGCTTGGGAACCCTAAACAAGGAACAGAAGAGAACAATTGGTGATAACGAGATTACGAATTGTAAACACGAGACTTACTCACTCATATTTATTTTCCAAAAGTGATCCACCTATTTGCGAAACATGTAATGTACAATTAACCGTTAACCATTTATTAATTGAATGCCATAGATTTGCCAATTTTCGTGTTACATTTAACAGTTTAAGTAATTTATTAGGCACTAATTTCTCAGCTAGTAATATTGTAAAGTTCCTAAAATCTATAGGAATATTTTATAAAGTCTAATTTTGTAATTCTGTAGCCGCCGCTAATAACCATTATGGTGGATGCGGCTGTAATTTCTAAATAAAAAAAACATTCGACAGATGTTAGTTTGTATAACTGTTTGCCAGATGAAATAAAATCAAATCACACTTTTTGAAACATTGTTTCTATTCAAAAACATAGTACCTGAGTACAGTTTTTACTCAATAATACTAGTTTGGTCAGGGTATTTGCGTATTATGATAATATTTCATGTTTTTATATTTTTATTTAGTGTTTTTATCGTTTCTTAAATTTTGAATATTAAATATCTGTTTGTAATCACTGCTCCTTTGACTTCTCAAAAACAAAGCTATTTTTGTATATTGATCAAATAAATTCTATTCGATTATATTCTATTCTATTTAGGATATGGTAGAATTATTTAAATGTTACTTAAAAAATATTGAAAGCGCCAACACAGCCAGTATAATTTTCAATGGACAACAACCAAACAAACACGTCGATCGATTCAAACCCTGCTTTTAGTTGATACAGTGCCGATTAAAATGTACTCGTATCATATTAAACAGTGTTAGATAAACTCAACCACCTAGAACTAAACTGCAATATCCAAATTAACGTTTTTGAAAGTTGGTTCGCCCGAGCATAGACAAGTTTTAT